GTGAGTCCAGAGGAGTGCCATGAAGATCAGAGGGCTTGTGGACCTCTCCTATGAAGAAAGGGGAGACCAACTTTTTACACAGTTTGATAGAGACAGGACAAGGAATCACTTTAAACTAAGAAGGGAGGTGTAGGTTAGATGTTAAAAACAAATTCTTTACTCAGAAGGTGATGAGGCCCTGGCACAGCTGCCCACAGAGCTGTGGTGCCCCATCCCTGGAGGTGCTCAAGGCCAGGCTGGATGGGCCCTGGGCAGCTGAGCTGGTGGGGGGCAACCAGCCCATGGCAGGGGTTGGGGCTGGGTGGGCTTTGTGGTCCCTTTAAACCCAAACCATTCTGTGATGCTGTGATTCTATGATAAAAGCAAGTAAGAAAATAATTTCCTTTATCAGATATTTCAGGGAAGAAACCAAACTGCTGTGTCCAGGAGTTGCTGCATCTCACAATGGCCAGCACCATGACGATTCATTCAGATCTTCATTAGAGACTTCCGTGCTTGGTATCATCAGCTGTATGACAACAGCACAGCACTCCCTGTCCTTACCTGCATCTAATGACAGAGGAAAACGCCACAACTACCCTCATGCTGACTTTTTGTGCTCCCATTTCCTTCCTGTCATTGCTGACACCACCTAGATACCTCCTAGACAAGGCATGCAGGATGTTGTTCCTTTCACACAGACTAACGCTCTCACTAGTGCATGTTTCTGAGTAGCCATAAGGTCCACTTAATCTTCTCCACCTCTGCAGCTGAGTTTGTGTCCCAGCCATCATTTCCCACACACTTGCCCAGCCTGACCCCTGCTATTTGCCTGATCTGCAAGCTGCCATGACAAGTACCAGTTCTGCTTGATGAAACCTGCTCCTTTGAAAATGGTTCTGTCGGCTTTCCCTTTCCTCCACCAGGAATTTTCATCAACCTAAGATCCTTACATCATGCTTTGCCTTTAATGAAGCTGTCACCTCGGAGTACCTGTAGGTAATTGGTTGGAATCTGGGTCCCATCCCCAAGCTCAAGGCTACAGATGGTTCCAGTCCAGCTTCCCTCTCCACTCTTGTCTTCTGGCCTCCTCCTTGCCTCTCCTATGTTGTTAAGCTTTGGAGCTCCCTCAGTCTGCAGCAATCAGAGAGTTTAAGGGGCTTTGAGGCTTAAGGAAAGGCTGAATCCTCCCTTCTTGGGGCCTAGGAAGCAAGGTTCTGTCAAAAATCTGCCCCACTGCTGCCACAAGTCAGTCTCTGCTGCTAAGCTGGGCGGAACTCTGTGCCTTGCCAACCTGAGACCAGCTCAGTCCTGTGGCCTGAAACCTCCAGGGACTTCACACACGGGCTGACTGCCCCCATCTTCCCAGTGTTACGGTTCTTTTCACAGCTCTATGACCAGTGCTGGTGAGGGGCCCAGACACAGGTCTGGAAGGAGCGGCCTGGAAGAGACGGGAGGATCTGATAGGGACATGCTGATAGAAGTGGTTGCTCACAACACCGTGCCCCGTGCTGCCCACCACACAACACACAGCCCCTTTGCCCACTCGGTTCATCCTCTTTTCCACAAAGAACTGCCAAGAGAAACCTTCAATGCAGAGATCCCCCAGAGGGACAGTCCACGTAATTGTGTTTGTTGTGCAACCAAACTCACCGCTCCTTATCCTCCGATAAGCTGCCTTCAAAAAAATGCTAAGAAAAAATAATGCAAAATACCAGATTTGGGCTCTTTAAGAAAAGCAATTGCTGCTGTGGATGGGACGGTTCTCCCTCCCTTGCCCCCTGGGCTCCTGCCAGCAAGCTGGGGAGGAGCTGTGCGTCCCAAACATCTCCTCTGCTTAGGGCTTCAAGTGCATTTTTCACATGGGAAAAAATCTTGTAGTGTGGTGTCCAAAGGGAAAGCTGACGTGCTTTGGGTCAACATTGCCAACTCCGAGCAAATGTTTGCTTTAAGGAGGTGTGTGACATTCCTTTCCAAAACCAAAGGGAACCTGGTCTTCAGGAGCTCTCTTGAATTTTAACCAGTTGAGTGGATGAGGAGGCAAAGAGGACTCCAAGACTGTGTAGTTAAACAAAAAGTTTTAAATTACCAGCCAATTCCTGTGAGCATACTGTTGTGTTCCCTGCATGCAGAACTCAAGCCCAGCGCTCAGGCCCAGGTGTTCTACCTGGATAGGTGCAAATGGTGCTGATATGGCCACAGCCCCTGGTCACAGAGGGGTGACAAGTGTGGACAGACAGCTGAAGCCAAAATCAAACTCTTCACCTTCAAATGTTTCTTTTCCATTTGCAACAAACTGAGTTTCTTATTCTTTCTCTTACAGTGCCCTCTCCTCTCCTCTCCTCTCCTCTCCTCTCCTCTCCTCTCCTCTCCTCTCCTCTCCTCTCCTCTCCTCTCCTCTCCTCTCCTCTCCTCTCCTCCTTTCCTCGTTACAATTTCATTTATTAAGGATGGGGATTAAGGAGGCCAGTGGGGTGGGTTAGGCTGGGTCAGTGACATCTGGGTGCATCTGGGTAACTTAATAAGGAGCCTCCAAAAGCAGAGGCTCACCCAGTGATAAAAAGCCCTGTTGTGGCATGGAGGAGCACTGTGCAGCACCTAATGATGAAGGTGCTTTCAGAATGAACAAGCCAAGGGAGCACCCAACTTCACTCACCCCTCTCTCTCCCACCACTTCATCCCAGAGGGATTTTGCCTGCGTTCATGTGTTAAATCCTAGGCACAGACCCCATTCAGGCGCTGTGCCCAGCTGTCCCACAGGAAGTCTGGCATTCCCACAGGGTCACAGGTTCAGACATAGATGGGGACTGAGACAGGCTGGAGTAGTGCAAAATAAAGAAGTACATTAAAAGACATTGCAGCAGAGCAGGTTTGTGCATTGATGTGCTACTCTCCGTGCTCCTCAGTGAAGGAGCTCTCCCCGAGGCATTCACAGCCCTACACTTTCTGTTCCTGTGTAGGGATAAGTGCTGAAAAACGTCATTTTTTGTTTGTTTGTTTTCAATGTTATTCATATTTCAGCTCTTGGCAACACCCATTTGCTTTAATGGGCAGCGGTAGATTCCCGTGCCAGGTTCTCAGACTCAGCTGCTACTTTTCACTCCACTTCTTCAGCTAAGGCAGAGATGCTCCTTGCGCACCCCCCAGCATGAAGGCACAGACCTTCAGTTCTGCTTGTATATTCCTCTGCCCTACAGCAGCGTGGATGTGCTGCCCTGCTTCAAGCCAGCACTGGCTGAGGACCAAGAAGGGCCACGCAGGGTTACCCCGGAAAATATGTGCTCTGCTATTTTATTCATCTGGAGCTGAAGTGGTTGGTATGAAAGAAAACACCCCGTGGGGCTTCATGCCTCGAGTCAATGGATTCCTGCTCCTTTTATAGCTCAGGAATGCCAGCGAGCTCGGTTGGTGTTACAGGGCTGTGAAGGCACAGCTTACAGTCTGGATAACCATTAATCACAGCAGCACAGTGACAGCTGTGCACCTTCTGCTGCGCTTTCAGATGTGGGCAAGGATGAGTGCTTCCCAGCCAACTGAGATCTCTGTCCTAAAAGCAACAGAGCACAAGGAGATGGGCTTCAGAGTCTGTGCGTAAAGGGTCTCAGCTCCTCACAGGCCTCTGCTATCCCACGGCAGTGCTGTGCATTTTCTGGGTAGGCAATCCATCAGAGTACCCCTGTCAGAGGGTGCTGAGAGCCCCCAGCAGGATGCTCAGAGCCCAGCTTCACAGCTTGGGCTGCATCCAGCTCCCAGATTCGGGACACCTGGCAACGACCATCCTCCCAGCAAGGGATGTTTATGCTTGGAGTGTTTCTACCATGGTGCTGACAGCACTGGCGGTGCTAGCACAAACCTCGGTGGGTGATGTGCTCCGTCAAGTCCAGCTCAGAGCTATTTAAAGACACGAGGAATCAGAGCTTCTCAAGAATGCAGCTCACCGGTGGTTGGACGTTTGTTCCATTACAGCATGGGAGGAGAAAGCCTCTATCCCAGCAACCGACCAGAAGAGGAGAGATGTTGTAGCTGTGCAGCATGCTGAATCCAAGTGGATCATGAAAAGGTCTCCTCATTTGGGGCTGGATTGCTCTTGATTTCTGAATGCTTCTAAATGGTGATTTTGTTGATGGCTTTAGCTCTTCCGAGTTCTGTCCCTGCCTGTGCTAAGAGGACGCTGCCCCTCGCTTACTTCTGGGAAGCCTCAGTCATTAGTGACTTTGACATTTCAACACATCACCTCTGGAAGTTTGCTTTGTTGCACTATTTTTTCCAGAGGCTAATATGCAAAATGTACTTAACCTGCAGCCTTCACCTGTTACCGAGGTGAAGGCACAATGCAAAAACGGGATGAACCATTACAGCTACATACCTGAGTGCAGCTGGTGTTGAGGCTTTTCCCACCTCAATTCTGCTGTTGCCTCTGTTGTTTTTTTTTTCTTTTTTCTTCAATGAGAAAACAAAGAAAAGAAGCTCTGAATAAAAGGAGCTAACTCCCCAGCCTTGCTGCTCAATCCTGACTCAAAGAAAGATGAAAAGCCAAAATCTAAGCAACCATAGATTTCTATTCTTGGTAGTAAAAGGCCATCACAAGTACCAGATATAGGAGGATTTTAGGTATCTTTCCCACATCGATCCAATGCCTGTCAAGCAAAGAAGTCCCAGACTCACAGGAATAACGAAAAAAAACCTACAAACAATGGGAGGCTATGCTTAATGGGAATATCTTAATGGGAATATAGGGCCAAAGTATATTCTGATGCTCACCAAAGCACCTTGACATTCCAGCTTGATTTCCTTCAGGTAAAGCTGATCTGACTAAAACCATCTCAGGCTTGGCAAAGCTCTCTGCATTACAGACCTGCCGACTCGGTGCCCACACACCACTGGTGCCAACAGCCATGGAAAACAAAGGAGGTGCAGCCTATGGTCAGCCAGGTCTGACCACTTCACTTAGCACACTGAGTGAATTGTTTACAGATTCCTTTCTTCTTAGGGACCGAATATACTCACGTTGGAAAAGTGAAGAAAGAAACACGTTTATACATTTATTATATACAATATTAAGGCACGGGTTTAAACAGCAAGGAATTGGAAATCTTTGGCTGACCAACAGTATCTGTATTTGCTGTGGGTGACACGTAATGCTGCTCGTTTACCCACCTATGTACAAACGACTCTCCAGCTGTACAACACTGTACACCAACTCCTCTATACAACCAACAACAATAAAAGAATGACAGTATTTTACAACGAGTTCCCAACATTGCCTGGAACGGCTACAGCACCATTTCCCAAACCACCATTCAGTTCCAGGAGCTGGGAAACCCAGCAGGAAGGCAGCAGTGCTCCATGCAAACTATTCATGGTCTGTGGGGCAGCATTGGCTGTGAGCACACCTCTGATGGCACGTCCAGCTGCCTGCCTCTACAGAAGTCATTAAGCAGTTCCATCCAAAGAAATAATACAGCCAGTAATGACGTGCTGTGGGACTCCCAAGCAGCTGGGTGTCCTTATTTCTTGGAGCAAAATGATGGCATATTTACTGTCATTTTCCTGCCATCCCCTCGCTTTGCCATCCTCCTGGCCCAGTCCCAGCTGGGCAGCGCTGGCATGCGTGGGGTTGGGAGGTGCCCACCTGCAGCCAGCCACAGCCACACGCAGGCCCGGCCTTTCCTTAGGACCTTTAAATTAACTTTAGAGGAAAAATAAAATTATTTCACAAGGCATATATTAAGCGGCACAGCATCTTCAAAGGAGTTTTACACATTTGGTTTTGCAAAGCTGCTACTACTCGAAACACACAGCTCTCCTGACGCCACGACCCACCCAGCACTGCTGCGTTAACAAGTGCAAAAACCAGAAGGAAGGCAACACCAACACATCTGTCTACACACACAGATAAGTGCATGGACTCAGCATAGCAATTTTGTTTTACAACGAAGGTATCTCACAGCCATGGGGCTCCAGCACCTGCAGCCTTTGGGGTTGCAAGGACTTGTTTTCAGCAAAAGTACAGGGTAAAGTGCCTGATGTTCTCTCAGTGTTTCTCCTCCTCTTGATGCCTACAGGAAGGGAGAGCCTTGAGCCAGTCCTGCACACACGTGTACCCAGGAGCACCCACTGCTTTTCCACTCTACACAACTTGGCATAAAATCCCACCATCCTTTTGCCAAAGCTAAATTCTTCCTGATGCCATAGGGGCACACTAGGAAATTTGGGAAGAGAAAAGCCAACAGAAAAATATCCTGGAGAGGAAAAATTCCCTACCAGCTTTTTTTTTCCCCTACTAGGAAACAGAAGATATGTTATGAGTAACATTGCTGTGAGCTGGCTGTCTCACAGACAGGTGCTACCTCGTACAGAAACCAAGGGCTTAGCTAAAAATCAGAAATGTTTTGTCTTGGGTGAAGCAGGCTGAAAAGAGCCCACAGCTCAGCACACAACAGGTGATGCTCATGCACTGCTTTGCAGTTAAACATTCCAGGTTCAGTCCTGCACCTCTTAATGCAGAGTCCCACGTCAACCCAAACGGCAGGTCTGTTTGCACAGGGAATGTGAGACTGAAAATAAGGAACTGTTCTTGTCCTGTCTGCAGACACTGCACAGTAAGAAGTATCTTCTGACCTCACATGCAAGCTTGGCTTAGTTCACTGAAATAACCGCAGAAGGCATCAGTGGTTTCTGTTTTCTTCCCATCTCTCCCGTGTAAACAGCCCTGAAGAGTTCCTTGGGCTACACTCTGTTACAGTTTTGTGCTCAGATTCTCACTTGCTGAAACCTATGTGTTGCATCTGGCTCTGCGTTGGGGCAGCAGAAGATGCACTGAGGCACCTCACCTCTTCCATCTCTGCCCTGCACAGCCCCGTGGTGGAACTGGCTGGATCCTCCTCTGACTTTCCTTCCTGAAACTTTCCCAATGTTACAAAAGGGAACAGCAGGGTAATCTCCCTCCTTCACGTTCTTCCTCTGTGGAAATTCCAATGAACAACTGCTCCTATCAAAAAACAGAAGTCTCAGCAGACTCGGAGTTTGCAAGACACGAAAATTTGCACTGTAATCCGGCTCCAAGAGTAATACTTGCCTGGCCAGGCAGAGGCACCTGACCTGCATGTCAGGAAAACCACACCACACCACTTCAAATGAATACTTACAAGAACCTGCCGTGTACATCCACACACCAATAATTCACTAAAATCCAGCAGTGAATACTTTTGAGAAAGGAATCAATACTGAGGAAGATGCAAGTTTCTCCAATTATTGTCAGATGCTCTGCTGGCCTCAGAAAAGCCAGGATTTGGCTCCTGTCCTGGCTGCAGAGGCAGCAAAACAGAAGCACCCTGTGCACCCAGTCTGTAATCTTCCTTCTCCACCAGAAAATGCAGTTTCCTCTTTCCTCAATGACCATCTTCTCGGGCCACCTTCAGTTTTCAAAGTCCCCTTCCACTCAGAAAGTCCTGAACACTCATCTCATCTCTCCTCTTGGGTCCTCTTTATCTCTCGCCTGGTCCCAAGTCTCTGTGTAACACTCAAGCTTCAATTCAGGCACAAACTTTCTTCTTCCTTCTTCAAATTCTCAGAGTCAGTTTTTAAGGTTGGCACACCAACGATGTCCTTGGACGTGGATGTATGCCCACGAAAGCCCAGACACCATCCTCTGCTCAGATGAGGACTTCCATCATATCTGTGTCTGGAAATTCAGGCTTGTGGAGCAAGCTGCTCACCCTGCCTTTGCTGTCAGGCAGCTTTCCGTGGCTGGAGTTCTCTGCAATGGAAACAAGGCAAAGTCAGTCTTCAGCTCAAATCCAGTAACGAATTACCCGAAGTAAATACAAGACCTTTTTTTTTTATTTTCCAAGGGAGAGGTACAACTGCATGGCCTAAAGACTGAAGGCCAACTGGAGGGCAAGAGTCCCATAAGCCTCCCTGCACAAGGAAGGCCACAGTAACCCAAAGTTTCAAGCAGTTAAGGTATTCAGCCTTACTAGTGCCAAATAGGAAGTTTCTAGGGGGAGATTTGCTTTTGAGTAGAAAAAAGTATAAGAAACTGACTTTTTCAAATTTGCATTTGCAAAATATGTCTCTCCTTGATAAGGCTGCATGCCAGCAGTTTCCATATTCCAAGAATAACTGAAGTTGTATTTCTTTACAGAAAAACCCAAACCGTAACAACAAAACATTCTCCATTTTACTTTTTAGCCACATGTTTCTTTTAAAAACCAGGTGATGCTTTCACTAACCATGGTTTAACCATTGGTTTGTATCCTCATCAGCATGAATGACGACATTTGTCACCCTGAGGTACCTCGGGGAACAAGCCAACAGGTCAGGGGAGCTGACACTCCACCGCTGGCCCTGCTGCCCCCAGGTGTGCTCCTGCCAGCACTCACCCAGTTTCTCCCCGGCTGGCCGTGCCCCCGGGGGCCGTGGTACCGGGCTGTGTGTCGGGGTGGTGCCCAGCCGGCCACGGCCGGGGAAGGAGGCGGTGGCGGGCCAGAAGAGCTCGGTGTTTTTGTCGGTCTGGGTGCTGTTGTCCTTGCTGCCCGTCTTCACGTGGGAGGCTGCTGGTGCCGGCACAGGTGCACACGACAAGGAGGGCAGAGGGGGAGGCAGCGTGAGGCCCGGCGGGTGCTCGTGGTGCTCCTTCCCCAGGAGCAGCCCTGAAAACACACCGAGCACAGCCATATCCAGCTCAGTCAGAGGTACTGCCCCATACTCACCCCGGAGCTACAACCCCCTTTTGCACACCCACCCCAGCCGTACCGTGGGGCAGGCACACACACCTTCACACTCCCATTCCACACGGCATCAAATGCATAGTAAGATGAGAGGTAACAGCCTATAGTTGCGCTGGGGAGGTTCAGGTGGGGTATGAGGAAACACTTCTTCTCAGAAGGAGTGGTGAGGCACTGGCACAAGCTGCCCAGGGGGTGGTGCAGTCACCATCCCTGGAGGTGTTCAGGAACTGTGAGATGTGGCACCGAAGGACGTGGTGAGTGAGCGTAGTGGGGGTGGGCTGGGGTTGATCTCAGAAGTCTTTTCCATCCTTAACAATGCTACGATTCTCTGAAGCGATGCACTAGCCAAAGCTTAACCAAAACCACAACTCACCTATGCTTCCCTTCCAGATCTTCTCCTCTTTCTTCTCCTCAGTGATCTGGTTGTTGGTGAGCGAGGTCTGGCGTGAGTGTGTGCCCGCAGCAGCAGCAATGGAGGGCACGGAGCGAGCGGGTCGCAGGCTGGCACTGTCGGCTTTGCCGGGATCCTTCCGTGAGCGCTGCTGAAGGACCTTGATCATGGCATCCTTCTCGATTATTTTTGCATGGAGATTCTTTATTCTGCCAAAATACAAATGTGCTTACAGGGCTGGAAAACAAGTTTATATGGGCAGCAATCTGCAGCCAAGGGTAGCAGGACCGCTCCCCAGGTACATGCCCTGCTGCTCTGTCATCTCTGCTTTTACGTGACCCGGATGAGGAAGCTCCCTGCAGGGCTTCTAAGGGATAACTATGCAGCCTGAAACAGGGAGCATTTCTGGCTATTAACCCCAAACAGGTTTATTTTGCATGGTTAGATGAAATCACCTATTGCTGTGGCTCTACCAACACAGGAGAAGCAATGGGAGCAATATCCTGACTGCTGTGGATTGCTACCTTCACTGAAATAACACAAAAACACAAGCAACATTCCCCCACTGCTACCAAATCCGGAATCCCTCGCTTGGCAGACTGCCACAGGGAGGAGTTTGCCTCAGCATTATCTGAATGAAAATCCTGAGTTAACCTCATAATTCAGGTCTGTTGGCAGCTGGAGGAAAGATTTGTTGCTAAAGTGATGGAAGGAGTTCCCTTTGGTGCCTATGGCAGCTGGGCTGGGCTCCCGGATCCCACTTAAGCACTGCAGAAACCATCTGTTTGTGGTGTGCAAAGCTGGGACCCCAAAGACCTTGGAAAAAGTTATCTGAAAATTCTCTCCGGGCATTATTAACAACTAATCTTACTGTATCTTTGCTGATGTGCAACATATGGTCAAATCAACTACGTTCTGTGGAGCAGTGAAAGCTGAAACGCCACATCTGAAAAACTTACACATGCAAGGGAGACAGACAGTAAGATGCCTTTAGTTTTCATAGTCAGATGTCTAATTTGCAATGAAAACACAAAATCCTAATCCATTCTTCATGAAGTCATTGGCAAAAACTATTGCTTCGCTAGAAGCAGGGTTAGCTTGCATGTCTGAGTGGAAAACAGAAACCAAATCCAGTAGAAACAATCATCTGCACTTTCCACAAGCAACACATACACTGCTTTATAGAATTGTCTGCAGACTTGTCATTTTGTGGGAAAGACAAAAATGGAGCACAGATTTCAAGTGATTTTTCATTAAAAATCTAGAGACATCCCCAAGCACTACCAAGGGATCTTTACTCATCAGCAGACCGCTTTTCTCCAAAGAACAGCTGGGATGACAAGTGCAGCCCCATGCTCTAGCACCCATGTATCTACACAGCCATGTTTCCACTGGTGTGCTGAAAATGAAGAAGTGCCATTGAACATTACCTGTGTCCAAAGAAGTGTATGCTATATGTTCTTCTACTGCTGGTAAATATATATATATATATATAAAAATAATATTTATTTATTTATTTATTTATTTATATTTATATATAAATATTTATATATATAATATATATTTTATATATATATATTTAGAGGTGTTTGGGGGACTAAGTTTTGCAGGCTTACTGCTAAATGCCATGTGAATGCCACTCAACATGGACGTGCACAACTGAGTGTATCCGGAAAGAGCAACAAGCAGGCAACTAAGGAGAGCAGACGCTCTACTTGCTGATTATGTAGGAGTGGGATTACAACTCCAGCTTTTACAAAGAGATGCTCTTGTTTCCAGAGGGGGATTTTCAGTGAGATTAGGCAAGTATTAAGCTTCCTTGCATGCCAACCTACTTTTAATATTGGAACAACCTCAATTTTTCAAGAAGGTCAGTTTGGATGCAAGGCTTTGGTGCAAGTAGAGGAAGTTATCTAAGGACAGCGAGGAACCAAAGTGCATCCTGATCCCCCTTCCCAACACCCCACCCCACCACCCAAGGGAAGGAGCCCGGTGGGGTGACTCCAGTCACAGCCCCACAGCAGTTCCTTACGTGTACTCCATGTCCTGGCAGCGCCGGTTGGCCTGCACAATTTCCTCCTCCTCCTGCCAGCCCCGTGCCTCCAGTGTGCTCTCGCCATAGCTGCCGTTGTGTGAGTGGCTGGGGGCCGAGGTGTCCCTGGCAAAGTGATGGGACACAGTCAGCTGGGCCCCATGGATCATGAGGATGGGTTTTGCAAGAGAGGTTGGTGCTTGCAAAAAAAAACCAAGCCAAATCTCACGTTTGAAGAGTAATGATTGACTGTTGAAATGGATGGCTATTGGTTGTCTTGCTGTGGTGTACCCTCGGATCTGGGTTAGTTGTTAACGGTGTTAATAATTAGGACCAATGCTAAAATCACAGCTGAGCCCTGTGAGATTAACAGCCATCCTGCAGGATGAGGTGAGACATCAAGAGGACTGATTCATCCACCAGGAAAGCAGTCCCAAAGTCACCAAGGCTGCACCATGAATGAGAAACAAAACTGCATGGAAACTCACATTAGGAAAGTGAAAAACAGAGGAAGTGCTGTCCAGACTGAAGCACAAAAGGAATGCACTGTACTGAGATCAGCACACAGCCATATTTAACAAGGCAGATCTCATCTTAGGATGTATGTGGGAGATTTGGCTCTAAAGAAACTGGGGTGAGACATTAATTATCCTGACCCATCATTGTCGGAGACTTTGCTGCAACACACTGTGCGCTTTGGGGCACCACACTTTGACACAGACAAACTGGAGTCTACCCAAACAAAAGCACTGGGAATGGGAAGGGGTTCCTACAGGACGCATGAGGGATGGCTGGAGGAAGCGGCTTTAGTTCAGGCCAGGAAGATACACCAAAAAATGTGTGTCTTCCAACATTTAAAAGGCTGTTATAACGCTGCCAGTGACCTGTTATTCATCTTGCACACCTGAGAAGGACAAGAATAAATTGAAGCAATCTGCAGCCAAGAGGTTTAGTTTAATGTTAGGAGAACTTTTTTAATTTGAAGCTTAATGAGGCAGTGAAACAGAAGACTTAGGCCACAACGCTTCCCTTGTTACAGGTTTTAAAATGAGGTTATAGAAACAGGCAGCAGAATGTGAGCTGGATGCAGCTGATACCAGTAGCTCCAGCTGTGTGCTGTGCATAACCTGTGAATAACCTGTGAAAACAGTGCTGAGTAATTTGGCATCCTTAGCTTGGTTTGAGCTTGGTGCCTGAGTTTGATAAACTTTTGGACATGACCAAAAGGGTAAATTCTGTCTTTAACCAAACTGTACTTCACAGGTGTCACCCCACTTAGAGATGTATTAACACTGCTGGAGAAACAGCATGGACAGGCAAAGCAAAATCCAGCCTTGGGGAAATACCCATTCCTTATTCCTCCCCCACACTTTCTGCTGCAAATAGAGCTGCCTGCTCACAGCAACACCATCTCACCTCTCCGTTGCAGCCGTGGCTGCAGCATTCATGGCAAAGTGCCTAATGGTGCTCTCCTCCAGGTACTTCTGCTCCCACTTGGTCATGTCGGCTTCCAGGGCCAGGATCCGCTCCTCCTTCTCCCTCACCAGCTCCATCAGTGCCGGCGCATTGTACTCAGGGAGGCTGCTGGGCTGGAAGCTGCCCTGCCTCTGCCGGAGCAAACAGCCACAGGTCACAGAATCACAGGATATCCCAAGTGGGAAGGGACCCGTAAGCATCATCGAGTCAACTCCTGACTCCACACAGCGCCATTCAAACAGGACAGGACCACCACCTGACAAGCACAGGAGCTACCAGCCCTCATTCTCCATATGGACAGCTCAGCCTTGCATTAGCACATCGCCACAGGGGCTGTGTTGAGCCACCTGCACAAGGTATTGGATTGCAGGAGTCTGGGCAGGCTGCCAGGCTGCCAGATCCCTCGATGCACAGGGATTTTGTGGGATGCACCAAACCAAGGCAAAAAGGAATAAAGCTTTAAAACATATTCTTCTTGCCTGCCTCTGCTGGTACATCCCAGACTAGCAGTCCCTGGAGATGCTTTGTGAGGGCAGCAGGAGACTTTCCACCCACATGGGCAGAAGATCCCCAGAGGCTGTGAGGTGGTTCCCACAAGAGGCAGACATGCAGCCATGAATGTGGAAGAGCACTCTGGATTTATTCTGATCTACACAGGTTTATTTTGCTCTGTTACAGGCACTTAACTACAGCACCCAAGCTGCAAGTAAAGCTGCCCTGAGCTCCTTGGTGAAGATGGGGCGGAAGAGAAAGCTCTGGGAAGATGTCATTATGGCCTTTCAGTACTTATCAACGGGAGCGGGACTGACTTTTTACATGGTCTGATAGTAGTATGACAAGGGAGAATGGCTTGAAACTAAAAGAGAGGAAATGTAGGTTAGATGTTAGGAAAAAAAATCTTTATTCAGAGGATGGTGAGCCAGAGAAGCAATGGTGCCCCATCCCTGGAGGTGCTCAAGGCCAGGCTGGATGGGCCTTGGGCAGTCTGAGCTGGTGGGGAGCAACCAGCCCATGGCAGGGGTTGGAACTGGATGAGCTTTAAGGTCCTTTCCAACCCAAACCATTCTATGATTCAGTGATAAGATCCAGCTCAGAGGCTGGGTGGAATGAGCCCATACTGGGAGAATGGGCACAAAGCTCTGTCAAAAGTCAGTATAAATAAATGGTGAGTTTTTTTTAATAAAAAAGCAATTTGTTACAGTTCACAGTGTACAATATTATGCTAAGGGGAAAATCATGTTCAGCTCTTCCTTCTAGACATTTATCTCCTGGTTACAGAAAAGAAGAGACAGCAGAGCAAGACTGTAGCTTTTGGCTTGATGCAGTAATGACATGTTTGGAAGATACTTTCTGGAACAGTGCAGTAGGGAATAACCCTTAGGAGCAACTGCTGCAACCTCTCCTGCAAACCAGCCAGTGCACTCAGATACTGTCAGACCCCCGGCAGGAAGGCAATGTTTTGGAAGTACAGTTATGGGCTGTAAAACAGAGCCCTGCGGTGCTTCACTCGCAGTCAAAACATCTGCCAGCCCTGCATGCTCAGCCTGCAACTCCAAGTCAAAAGGATATTTTTTTGGTCAATGACATGATATTTTTTTGTCAAGACAATGACAATATGCTGTTTGGACTCGCTTGGGTCAGGGAGCAGAAGAGACTGGCTCACTGTCTCCTTGCATACCACATCTCTTCTTGCTGGTGAAGAGGAGAAAAAAGCTCTTTTCCTCTGTGTTGAGAAACAATTTGAGTAGATGTAACTCTGCTAAGAGAGACAGATCTGACTGAAAACACTGGGGCATCACTGCAAGCACCACGATTTGTTGTAATGCTGTGTGTCTCATAAGGCCAGAAGTATAAAAATATCCCAAAGTCTCCCCATCAATGGTGTAGGCATGTAGGAGCTATGGCAACCTAAAATGCAGTTGCTAATTGCAGATCCAAAAAAAAACTCAAAGAAGGCAAGTTACAGAGGCATTTTTCTGACAAAATCATAGACACAGCCAGAACTCCCGCAGCAAGGACTTGGGTGGGAGTCCATCCTAGTTACCTAATCTATCCATTTGTCCTTCTGTCCCAGCCAACAAAGCCTTTTCTAGTTCCACACAGAATCACAGAATGGCCAGGGTTGGAAGGGACCTCAAGGATCATGAATCTCCAACCCCCCTGCCACATGCAGGGCCACCAACCTCCACATTTAAAACCAGACCAGGCTGCCCAGGGCCCCATCCAACCTGGCCTTGAATACCTCTGGGGATGGGGCATCCATCCAGTTTTACCTTTGCTTACATTTATTTTTCTCAAATGATCTTTCCTTTCCACCAGCATCAGCATGTTATATCCCCGAGTGACTTATTTTTTAAGTCAGAGAAGAGCAGGCTAAGAAGCAATTGAGAAGAGCTACTGAAATACAGCATATAATTCCATGATTCTGTGAAAACCCAGAGGATGTCTGTATAATCTATTTGCAAACTCCCCAGGAAAGGTTGTTGTAACAGATGAGTTTCTTGACAGATATAGGAGTGAGCCCTCCAGGAGTTACAGCAAAATCAGCCTTACTTATGTTGCTGTCTTTTACCCAGGCAGAGGTTTGATAAATGTGGTGCATCTGCTCACTCTGCACTAAAGCCAGTACTCGTGTATTGGGTACTTGGTGCTGGCTGTGAACTGGAAATCCTCCCTGAAACCTCCTCATGCTTTTTTTCCCCGTTTTCACAGATAGCTGCGTCTGGGGATTGGGGACAAAGAAGAGTCCAGAGTACCACTCAAAAGAACAACTGCATAAGACACAAGCTACCTCCAGCAGCCCCACAGCAGAGTTCAGCCATCATCCATTGGAAACCAAGGGCTCGATGGGCAATCCCAGCCCTAAAGCAAGGTGACTCTCAGAAAGGCTGAGAGAAGGCTCTGCGCTGAGTCCCTCACAGGCTATCCCTGCCTCACCTGCTGCATGCGCAGTGAGTCCAGCTCCCGCTCCAGGCGTGTGCGCAGCCGTCGCTCCATCTGCTCCCTCTTCTCACAGGCAGCCTGAAGTTGTGTCAGTGCCTGCTGTAGCTTCTCCACCTTCTCCACATAGGCCTGCTTCCTACGCAGCTGCAGGTCACAAAATAGAATCAGAGAATGATTAAGGCTGGAAAAGACCACTACGATCACTTAGTCCAACCATCAACCCATCCCCACCATGCCCACTAATCATGTCCCTCAGTGCCACATCTACACACTTCTTGAACATCTCCAAGGACAGTGACTCTACCACCTCCCTGGGCAGAGAATTTTTTTCCAATATCCAGCCTGAACTCATACTGAAGGAAGCAAAGGTTGGTTTGGGGTGGAAGGGACCCCAAAGATCGCCTAGCCTAAGCCCCTATCATGGGCAGTGACAGCTGTCAGTAGATCAGGCTGCTCAAAGCCTCTTCCAACTCTGAACATCTCCAGGGATGGAACATCCACAGCTTCTCTGGCAACCTGTTCCAGCCTCAGAAAGTGTGGGTTCTCCTCCTCTACCCCAGCTTTCTGTCATGAATTTTGTCACTGATACTGAAAGTTTTGGGGGATTGTAGCTTCAAGCTTGAAACTTGATTTAAACTTCTGATTTGGTGAGAGTGAATGCCAGAACTTTGCCAACACCAGTCAGGCCCATCTGCAACCTGGGTGGTAATAGGGGTGTTTGGGGTCATTGCTACAACCACCATGATCCCATCTGGGGCTTCTGATCTCATTTATTAGCGCATTTGTTTGGGAAGCTTTTCAGAAGCAAGATAGGAGGCAGAAAAATGCATTAACCCTCAGTGATGCTGGTGAACTACTAGATATACAAGAGACTGAGAGCTGGCTAAGCCAGAGCCAAGACAGTATTCTGGAGCCTATCTTATTTTTAAACACTTAAATTGCTACTGAACTGCAATGTGAGTTCCAACAGACATTTTTTTCCTTGTGTGATGCTGGATTCGCTTAGGTTTCCTCCCAACAACTACAGTGATAATAAAATTGATTTTTCTTAAAATTCTTCTTCCACTATCTCAAATCCATCCAGGTCACAGATGGAGTGAAACTGCTCACAGCAAAAGCAAAACTGGTTGAAGCAAAGTTCTGGCTTCCCATCCAGAACCAGCCACCTGCAGTGTGACCTCCCTAGCCCTGCTGTAATCTGGGCTAATGCTCATACTCCCACAAACTGCAGAAAAGCACTGAGATTATAATCCCCGCTGGTGTTTGGCAGCAGTAGGAAGACTGCATTCCTTGGGAGCTGATGACTGCAAAATAGACACACTGGTGGCTTCTTAGTGAATATACTGTTTTGCAAGTAGAAAAGTGCCTGTGCCATCTCCCAGCTGTGTGAGCACAGATCCGAGAGGTGACGTGGGCTCCCAGCCTTCATCCATGTCCCCACATCCTGCTGGGTGCTGAGCAGGATCTATACCACGTCAGCCAGAATTTGGCCTTGCAGCAGCCTTTTAGGGCTCAGGATTCACTCACTTATGCATGAGTGCTCCTTTGTATATGTGGGTGAGGCCAAGAACGTCTACTGCCTTAGCAATCAATTTTGTTAGATATGCAACAAGACAGTTCCCACATTCATATACTTATAGGAAAGTTCTTGAACCAAATCTGACCTTTTTTCATCCTGTCTGCAGATTTGTAAGAAATATTTCATCCACGTGCACTTAAGAAGCAAAGTACAACATGTTGTCACTGAAATTAATGGGCTTGCTAGTTGCTGTGAGGGAGGAAGGTTGTAATCAGAAATACATGATTCTAAGCCCCACTGCCTTGCGGAGCCCCAGGCTCAAAGGAAAAATGGCTGGAAGTTACCTCAGCAGGTACCAGTCTATCCTCCTGCTACCAGATAGGATCAATTCTACCTAAGTCACAGGCTGGAGAGCTGGGTGCAGAGGAACCTGATGAGTTCCAACATGGGCAAGTGTACAGTCCTACACTGGGGAGGAATAACCACGTGCATCAGTAGAGGTTAGGAGCTGACCTGATAGAGAGGAGCTCTGCAGAGAAGGACTTGGATGCCCTGGTGGACCATAGGTTGGCCACGAGCCAGCAGTGTGCCTTTGTAGCCAAGAAGGCCAATGGGATCCTGATCTTCATCAAAAGAAGCGTGGCCAACAGGTCGAAGGAGGTGATTTTCCCCCTCCTACTCTGCCCTGGTGAGGCCACAACGGTGGTATTGTGTCCAGTTCTGGGCTCCCCAGTTCATGAAAGACAGGGAACTTCTAGACAGAGCTCAGCAGAGGACCACAAAGACAAAGACGGGTCTGGAGCATCTCTCTTATGAGGAGAAGAGGCTGGGAGACGTGAGAGTGTTCAGCCTGGAGAAGCTTGAGAGGGGATCTTATCAATGCTTATAAATAACTAAAGGGCCAGAATCAAATGGATAGCCCTTTTCAACGGGGCCAGGTTCTTTTCAGTGGTGCTCAGTGACAGACAAGGAGCAACGGGCACAAACAGCAACACAGGAAGTTCCATAAAAACATGAGGAAGAACTTCTTTACTGTGAGGGTGACAGAGCACTGGAACAGGCTGCCCAGGGGGGCTGTGGAGACTCCTTCTATGGAGACACTCAAGACCCACCTGGATGCCTACCTGGATACAACCTGCTCTAGGGAACCTGCTTTAGCAGGGGCTGGACCTGATGATCTCCAGAGATCCCTTCCAACCTCCACAGTTCTGTGACTGTATGAAAAGCTGGTGGACGTCTGTATAATCTGTTTGCAAACCCCCCAGGAACATGGACACCACAGCCTTTCCCTACAAACGACTTCATGACCTATTTTCCTTTGCTGCTTGAAAACTTTTACCCTAATGCCTAATCTGGCTTTCTCTTTTGCAATTTAAGCAAATTACTTCTTGTTCTGCTTCCAAAGTGTGATCTACTAGAGCAAGAAGCACTTAATGAAACAATTCATGTATTCACAAAATCAGCAAACTTGTCTGAATGCTGCTCTTGTCCCACTGGTTAGGAAAATAAAGATGAAGAGCAAAGGCCAAAAGGGGCTGATCCAAATCTTGTGTCCATGAAGCAAAAAAGTCTGAGAGACCAGTGGGTCTTATGAAAAAATTTCTGCTCTGGGAACTAAACTCTGGTTTGAGTTACAGAACAGCGACTGGGAAAAATCTATGGATTTGACTGTAAGAGAAGGAGGATTCACTGACTTGCTACGTAGGTTGTTTCCATGTTAATGACTCTTTTCTTCTGGCCTGATTTGCTCAGCTTTAGCTCCCAAACACTGCATCTCGTTATCTCACCTCATGTTAAAAAGCGATGTTTAATCTGGCTGACAGCAATCTCTTCTTAATCTTCATGTGTACGGACCCAAGCTCAGCCGTCTCTTAATTTTAATTGTTCACAGCAAAGAACATCTTCTGGGCTTCAAATAAATTCTATGGCTCTTTCCTGACCTCTCTCCAGTTATTCAGTTGTTTCTCTGACACAATTCCAGCAGCAGTGTATAAATGACATGTGGTGGTAATACCACCTACATACTTTTGAATTAAATCCTTCTACTAACAAGCACTCAAGATAATGTAGATTTACATAGTATATTATGTTAATTCAACTTAGCAGCTGCTGCTTATTTCTCTTGATTTGAAAAGCTTTTAAACTCAATTACATTTTGGTGCTACAAGAAATCTATGTGAAATTACAAAGCAGTGCATGAGGTACAACTCAATAATAATCATCACCTTTATGTGTTTGTTTCTTTCAGTATATCCCAAATTAAAACAAGAATACTTGGTTTGAGATGAAGACTCAAAACTTGAAGATTATCTGGTTTGCATATGTGTCAAACTGATCTCCAACAAGTGGAGATCGTTCAAATAGTGGTCTCTTTTAGTGGTGGAACAGACCAAAAGCAAGGTAAAGTGCAATGAGGAGTTTGGGTACATGCTGACAGTCACAGTTTAACCATGCATTGCCCAAGTTGCTTGGCACTGCACTGCACTGAAACCACAGTAGCTGTGAGAAAGCTCATTTAACTCTTCTTAGAATGAAAACCAGGTAAGCACTACTAGCTTAACATGGGCCTGCTGAGGCTGAGGGCTCTGACTAACTCTGGGGAATGTGGTTGCATCACATTCATTCACTGTCAGCCCTTGGATCTAACATGCTCTAGGGCACGTAGGTTACCACCTCTGCAACACCTAACATGCCCCAGACATGAGGTTATCATCTCTGTAACACCTACTGTGCTCCAGCCTTGAGGTTATCACCTCAGTAACACCTAACACGATCTGGGCAGAAGGTCCCTAACCCACCTTGAGCAGAAGATCACTTCCTGAGGAACACCAAACATGTAGGACCTTACCAGATCTCTTCACAGGAATATTTGTCCTCTCTCAGTTTAACTTGTAATTCCCATCCAGCAAAGGCATATTTTTCTTGGAAGACTAGGCTAGGAACTGGCAACTGCAAAGCTTTAAGACACAGAGCCTCGAGACTGCAAATGTATTTACAGGTTAAGGACAGCTTTTTATACCACCTGCCTGAAAATCTGTGTTTATGCTTCTGCTGCCTTCACCAATGTGTGATTAGCAAGTTGGTATTACCTGCCAGTGTCACACTGACACTGTGGAGCAGCCAGAAGCTAAACATGTTTCTTCCCACTCCCTGTGTGATGCTGTGTTTGCAGAAGCAGGTACTGCTACCTAAAGCATTTCTTTATTCAGCCACTTTATAAGAAAATGTAAACAGAAAAGCTCTGGTTACCTTTAAGGCAAACAGTACCAAGTGAATAATGGACAGATGAAAGCTATACTAGCTCCTGCAGCTATCCCAAAGGGACTGCCCTAAATACACTGGGAAGATGAGTAGTTTAACAGAGGAGCACTTACTCTTAATGGGATCCTCTTCCTGCTGCTGAGTGTATTTGCCAGAGGCAATGGAGGCATTTTTTAAAAATGTTTTCAAACAAGAAGTCAGAATGGTCTAGTGGCCAGGAACGATATAGCATTCACCTTCAGTACTTGAAAACCACCAGGTTGTGAGTTATCATTAATTAGCCTACAGGAGGGTCTGCCTTGAACTGCATCAAGTTACCTGCCCACTCCTCACAAGACAACTGGCAGGATTCATCCCCAGGCCAACCTCTGTGAGAGCGCAGCTAGGAAATGAGGCACCAAAGGGAACAGAGCTGACCAACCTTATTACTCTCTTCCAGTACCTGAAAGGTGCTTACAGTGAGAGCGGGGTAGGTCTCTGCTCACTGGTGACAGGTGACAAGACGAGGGGAAATGGCCTCAAGTTGCGCCAAATTAAGTTTAGGTTGGACGTTAGGAAACACTTCTTTACAGAAAGTGTGGTTAAACACTGGAATGGGCTCCCTAGGGAGGTGGTTGAGTCACCATCCCTGGATGTGTTTAAGAGCTGTTTGGATGTGGTGCTCAGAGATATGATTTAGCAGAGGGTTGTCAGAGTCAGGGTATTATGGTTAGGCTGCCATCAAGTTGGACTTGATGATCCTTGAGGTCCCTCCCAACCTGAGTAATTCTATGATTCTATGACCATGCCAGCATTCTGTGCTAGGTGAGCATTCTTCCCCTCACTGATGGAGCCTACTCAGACAGTCAAAACTTTTAAATTTATTCCCCATAAAACATCTTCCTTCTTTGTTGGTCCCAGGGACTGATATTTCAGGGTCAAAAAGTCCTATTACAACAGTCCTGTCTTATCTGCCAGAGCACACAGGCTTTCAGCTAACTATTATTTGCAACTTCTCATTGAAGGTCTGTAAGGAACACAATAAATTGAAATTTATTGATCTCCAGTAACAGAACTGACATCACTCTTGGTTATTGCTAATACCGAGCATTATTTCCATTTTGAACTTGCTTAGCTTCAGATCCAGCTACTAGATGTTGTACTGTATTTGCCAGCTTGAAGAGCCCTCTGTTCTTAGGATTTGTCCTCCTGTTTGAATACTGATTTTCACTATTGGGCTTACATGACCATTTTTAAGAATGCCTTGGGGGTTTTGCATAGATGACACTTTGGGAGTCTTATGGTACAACAGGTTTTTTCAGCTCTTGGATAAATACTGTAGCTCCAAATCCTGAGGGTCTTGCCTGTAGCCACATCAGCTCATTCTCTGAAGACCACAATTCACATGCAAAGTTGCTAAGCCCTAGACTGCTGTGCTGCGGTCCTGGAATTCTCTGAGGAGATACAGGATGTACCAGGATCACATGTTTACATCACAGCTCTGAATCAGTGAGTCAGATTTTTGTTTGATATTTCTAAGCCCTACCAATACCTCAGCCATCAACTATTTCAGCCTAGAAATGCTCCTGATTAGATGTTGAAAGCTCTGCCTTGAAAACATCTATGGATGTAGTCTCCTTTAATTGCTTTCCTGGCTCAGTGCTGTACTGCTATGCATTTTCTCTGCTGGACAGACACCACATGGGAGCAGGAAAATGTGCCACATGATGGCCAGAATAGATTCCGGACTGGGATGGAATAAGTCTTATCTGCAAGCTACCATTAGCATCAGAGCAGAGGAATGATGCCCACGCCTCACCTCCTCTTCCAGTTTGATGACTTTGGCTTGAGCATTGTTTAGGGCCTGGTCAAGGATTTCAATGTGCCTGCGCTGATCCTCATTGGCAGAGCGCATGGCTGCCAGCTCCATCTCCAGCTTCTCCTTCTCTTTCAAGTGTTCCTTGTCTGGAAGAAAGACAAGAACATTGTGGATAAGATTTAAAATGACATCAAAAAATAAAGCTAAGTTCAGTCAGCTCTTCTCGCAATTTTCCCTCAGCAACAAAACTCACCATCAATTTTGCTGACAACCTACATACTGAAAAGCTCAGCTCCACCTATATGAAGTTCTTTACTTAGAGGGCGGTGATGCCCTGGCACAGCTGCCCAGAGAGCTGTGGTGCCCCATCCCTGGAGGTGCTTAAGGCCAGGTTGGATCGGGCACTGGGCAGCTTGAGCTGATGGGGGACAACCAGCCCATGGCAGGATGGGAACTGGGTGATCTTTAAGGTCCCTTCCAACCTAAGCTATTCTATGATTCTGTGATCTATCTCTGCTCTGACACACTGAGAAACCACTTCAGGAAATACAAATATTGCAATCTAACTGCTGGATCTCCAGTGTCAGACTACAAACAGTTAATAAGGAGAGGAACAGGGGATGGAAGTTTCATTCAGTGAAATCTGAGATTTCAAAATCTGGCCTTCGTTCTGAATCATGGCAAAAATAGAGCATTTGGAAAGCCTCCAAGAAAGAATATTTTCTCCAAAAATTAATTTGGCACCAATTAAACCTTGTTTTGACTTTTGACTTTTTTAAACCCGGTATTACAAAATGCATTTTTTTTTCACTGAAGCAAAAAGTTGCTCCAAAACCAGCAAACTGTGGAAGATCTGCCTCTAACATCCAGTTCCCCCAGCAGGGACACTCAAGTCACGAAGGCCCTCCAGCCACCTCCCCACCAGTCACTGAGGAGGGACAGGACACCTCACATGGCTTTTTTCAGAAACAAACTGCCCCTTGAAGGACCTTATTCTTCCTTAATCATAAGCAGGATACGATCAGCATTAATTTACTCCCTCTTCATTGTGTCTGCAGTGAGGGGAGACAAATACGAGCTGAGCCATGTGGAGGAAGGCACGAATGGCTCAGGTGAGCCCAAACCCATCTGGCCACCTCTCTGTTTGTCCTAAAAGGAGAAGAAATACAGCACTCAACAAAAACAGATCAGGAAGCAACACAGCAGATCAGCCTCTGCATAGCACTGAGACTGCTGGGCACTCTACTTTGCCGACCAGCACTGGGAGCCATCTGAGGAGGACATGGCTTTTGGCTTTCCACATTGGCCAGGAATTTTAAATCTGACACACAGGCCTCATCATTCAACACATTTACTTTGGTCTGATTCACCAGAAGAAACATTACTGTCTATTGTATGAAAGTGCAAATCTGGGAAAATGATCAAGCAGCTCATTTCATTAGGGGGTGAAGAAGCCAGAAGCCAAATACTATTTCAGTCTTGTGGCATTCAAGCATCTCACACTAGGACCATGCTTGCTGTGCTCTGAGCTTGAAATCTGCCATATGAGGACAGTGCACAACACCAGGACCTGAGACATACACTTACAACTCTCATCCAAAGCACTCCAAGTAAGTTTTCTATTCCCTCCCCTAAAATGAGGATAAGGTCATGTTGTACACAGAATGACTGCTGAACCCACTGGAAAGCTGGCAAGAAAAATTTACCTAGCAGCACTTTCCTACACTGTATTAATTTTTAGTTAGAAAGGACTTCACTGAATATACCTCAAATTCTCACATACATACAAGGCATCCTTGTAAGTAAAAAAATTAGTTTTACTGTACTACACTGTGTATATCTCTTCAATTTTGACATGTGATTTTTACCCAACAGACTCCAGCTAATAACTATTCCTATTTTCTCATGGGCCACTGCCACATCCCATTAACAGTGGCCTTCTATGATGGCGTAACTGTGCCAGTGGACAAGGGAAGAGCCACTAATATCATCTATTTGGACTTCAGCAAGGCCTTTGGCACAGTTCTGCACACAGACCTCATGCTTTAACAAAAATTTTTGATCACATCAGTCTTGAAAAGAAAAAGAGAAATGTTTTTATTTGCTTATATCAGCTGAATGAGTGCCCTCAAAGCTACCCATACCTAAACACTATATTATATCTGAATATCAACTTATCTGCCTAACTTAGCAACCATATCAGTATGCCTTGAGCTGTTTTTCTCCTTGCTGCAATACTGCAAAGCAGTGACACTGACAGCCTTTAAGGACACTCCTTGTTCCTGTGGAATGACTGCTGCTGGCGGAAGAAATTATATCAAATAACAGCAGTGAGAACAGAATTTGCCTGCAAGAGGTTTGCTGAAAACAGGAATCCCTCGCATACCACATTCCTTGAGGTGTTTCCAACAATCTCTTGTACACAGGTTTATATTTCTCCATGATCACTCTTTGCTCACAGCTGTTAATTCCAACAGTGCTCCAGTGACCATGACTTTCTTAAGCGAAACCTGTGAGACTTCTTAAGACTCCCATCAGTCTTGCAACTCCCAACATGGCAAGTGAGTGGAGGAGCTCCATTGCCTGACATCCACAAGTATGGGCCTATATGACAGCAGCAGTTGCCAGTCCCCAGCAATCTGGCTGATTCACCAGGATGGTCTGAGGCACCAGAGCTGCCTGTTCTTCTCATCCACTTCCATCAAGACTAGGGCAGCCCTGGTGGCCCTGTGACTCCACCTGCAGTGATCAGCAGAAGGACAGGTAAAATCTGAAGTGAGGACAGGACCTTCTTGCCCATTCTAAAGACATTAGTGATTATCATTCCAAAAATATGTAGAGTGAATGAATAAATAGATCCCATTCACTAAGTTTGGCTGTACTGAAAGGAGATTTTTCGTAGCTTTAGTAGATTCTTCACACATTAACCAGGGCCATGTTGCCAGGTCAAGACTTTGACCAGGTTTGCCAGGTCCATGGAAGCAGCACAGCCAATGTTCATCTGTCCCTCTGCCCTCTGCAGCTTGGTAGTGATAATCTGGGCCAAGCCAAGCATGAAGCTGTAAAGTAGGACTGAGAAATGAAGCATTTCTTTCTGTTCTCACTCTCAAGTCCCAGTGAGAAAGCTGGAAAAAAATCCCACACAAAACAAAAATAAAAAGAAGATAAGAATGGCCTCCCCAGATTTATCAGGCAATGTATTTAACGGGAGGGATAACCAAAGGCTCACTCTCAAAAGAACATTTCTGAAAAGCAGGAGCACAAATGAGTCACCATCTCTTTTCAGCTCATCCAGCATCCAGGATGGGAAGGATGAAGCCTCTCTGTACATTCACCCCAAACACCTCTGCAAGGAGCAGCTCCCTGTGGAGCAGGCTGAGCCCTGGCTGCTGTGTGCACGCCACAAATGCAGCTGCATTCGTACAAACTGGGCTCCTGTGCTGCACAAAATGAGACAACACAGGTCTCCCCCACACTCTTCTCAAGGCTGCATTAACCCCTGCATGCTGGCCAAATGCCAGAGGAGCTGGCTACAAAATGCTCCTCCTGCAGTTTTGCTCATAAATGGCACGTTCCTGGCAGCTCTTGCAAATTTCTGCCATGTGAAGATCGAGGAAAGGCTGAGAAGCTGCAGGAGTTGATGCTCGGGGGAGTTGAAGTCTCTGGATTCGTTTTCTCATACGGTGATTAACAGGGATTTTTTGGTGGAATTAACAGCTGTAATGAATTTCAATGTATTTAACAAGTGGTTCAGTGTGTGGTTACTCATGGTCACTGACCTAAGGGATGCAGAAAAGTTTCAACTCTGTCCTCCATTATCAGAGAAAGTCACTGCATGGCCAGTGTATGGTAGCTTTCCTTATCCTACAGAAGTAAATCCAGCAGCTCAAAGATGCTTTGATTTACAGGTTGGGCACTGCCACTTCCATGTAGCAGTGAAGCTGTGGATGACCCATCCCTGGAGGTGCTCAAGGCCAGGTTGGATGGGCCCTGAGCAGCCTGAGCTGGTGCGGGGCAAACAGCCCATGGCAGAGAATTGGAGCAGGGTGGGCTTTAAGGTTCCTTCCAACCTAAGGCATTCCATGTTTCTATGATTCTATGTCATGAAGCAGAAGTCAGGGAGAGTTTGACCTTCACAAGTTGAAAACTGTCACTGGTCTTCCATTCCACTTTCTTTTGGAGGGCAGGGAAGTCATGCGGAACAGATGGTTTTTTTATACAACACACTCTCTTCAGGCTCCTGCTCCCTGTGCACATGCCCTTGTTCTGGGGAAACGAGAGCAGCAGCTTTCCCATCTTCCACGTGTGCTCCTCAGGGCTGTGAAACAACAGAGCAAGGGTTTCCCCTTCTTTAACTCCCGGAACTTGCACTGATTATTTCCTATTTTAATACCAAAGGACTTTCAGTCTGCCCAAAACACCACTCTGAAAAACATCTACTGAGTGTTTTTTTTTGCTAGGTTCATTTGATGGGAACATGGGATTTTTAGGCTGGAGATATGTGCACAAGTGCTGCACAGCACATCCACAGCACACTGCCACGAAGCACAAGGCTTCACTATGACACTATGAAAACTGTCTGCACATTCCCACTGATGGGCCCAGAGCCGTGCAGGGTAAACTCAGATGGATGCAGTCTCCAGTCTGCCTCAGACACCTGAGAAAACAGTCCCTTGGAGGAACCCCTCTCTGACAGAGGGGCTCTAAGTCCAGAAATCTCAGAAAAATACACAAAATTCTCAGACTCCACCAAAATAAATTCTTCCTGTGATACGCACGTCCTAAGCTTTCTCTTTGTCCTGTGCCTTTGAAATCATCCTCAGTCTCTCCCTTTTTGCAGCACCTGTCTGCCTTCTGCCTCCTTCTGATGCCTGTATGGGCCCAGACACCTTCATCAGTCACTGCTTCATGTCTTTCCTTAAATGAGCCCTTTTATCTGAAAAAACATCACATAATTACGATGAAACTAACAGGTTGTGAGTTCTCTACTGTGCCACATACTATGGTAGCATTTTTCATTCCACACAAATGCCAAGCACTTAATTCTTTGAGGTGTGCAGCCTGGCTTATGACAAAGAATAGGAGCTGTTGTCACCTTCTGTCCCCATCTCAGAGTGCATGACTGCGCCGCACTGCTGCACTGCTGACAGAGAGTGCTGCAAAGAAGTGAGAAGTGATGCCTGCAAGGCATATTTCAGGGTGCTTTTCCTATTAGCAGAGTTCTACCACGATATTAATTCTGTGGTTGAAAAAACAAAACAAGCACAAGACCGGCTTAAAAATGGTAACATTTAGGAAGGTGCTAATGTTGGAGTCTTTCTATGCAGCTTTTGGTTTGGAGATGTTAAGGGCCATGTTTTCAAGTTGTTTTCTATAAACTTCTGAGCCCTCAGAGGAATGTTTGAGGCTGATACCCTGCTATCGAGCTCATCACTGTATGCCACAGCAGCCGTGAGAACATGACTGAAGGGGAACCTGCTTTACATGTGCCCACTTTTCTATTCTTGGAAGCGCTCTGCATCACATTGGTAACATTTAGCTCTCTGGCCTGGACAGGAGAACTCCAAGCATTCAGCCTGTCTTACGTGATAGGATCCAAAAAGCTATATTTGCTCATAAGCTGAGGATTGATGGCAGCAGTACTCCAAGTGCACAGCACGAAGTTTTACTGCTCGATATTTAACATTAGAAGCACAGAGCATGTTTATATGCTGGAAAACAACTCAATTCAGTGCATTCTGGGGATTTACCTCCCTTTGCTGATACCATCACACATAAATACTGCCAGGCTATCTCTATATGAAGACAGCAGATCTCAATCTGCAATTTGCTCTGTGCAACGTACCCTGTTTAAACTCCAAAGGAGACAAATTGACTTAGCAATGCTATTTTCTTAACAGACCAACCACTTAGATGCACAGCAGTATCTACACGCTCTGGCAGCATCTGCTAACATAGCAAAGCTAACACAGTCATAGAAAAGGTAACTAGATTCTCTTCTATTGGTGCACATACACACCAATCTACCAGCAGAGTTGCTGTGCTGGTGTCATTGGCACAGGCAGGAGCTACGAGGAGGTTCACCTGCACTTGGGCTGGCAGCAAGGAACACTGAGTGCTCTTAATAACTCACAGTTAGAGGAGATGGCTGGCTCTCAGCTAACAATTTGCAGTTGCAGCTCATCTTCCAAGAAAGCTCTCGGTGTAGTAAATAAAACAAGAAGGATGAGCTGTACACTGCGTTTTGCTTCAGTAGGATTTAAGCCCACAAGGGCTTGGTCAAGCCAAGCCTTTCAGAATGCATACTACAGGTGCTCAGGATATGTAAGAGGTGATATGTGTCAGACAGCATCCAACTGCTCAGGTTTTGGTTTGCTTGGTCACCATCAGCACACAGTGGGACATGCTGCAGAACTGTGCTCAGTCATTAAGGAAGCCTAAAATTTGATTAGAAGGGGCAGCAGAAACCATGAAATCTTTGTTTCTGTAGCCCTTTGAGAAAATGAAGGCCCAGCTCTGCTCTTCCACCTGCTAGTCAACCCATGGCACTGACAAGTCAAAAGAGGTTGCTCTGAGCTTTTCCCAGCCAAGCGAAGAATTTGGCATCTCTAAAAATTATGTTCTTTGAAAGATGATTCCTGCAAGCAACACTCTGCAATTTCAGATAAATATTCATCAAAAATAAACTAAGTTATGATACCATTAACTCCCACTGCCTGATTCTGGAGCTCAGATAAAAAAGTCACTCCAAAACAATCCAGTCTGCAGCTTAAATCAGAATATATGATGAATTAGCTGACTAGAACCAAGCCATAAGGAGAATAACAATTAATAGCAAGGCATTTACCCTCACTTCAGTACATATACATGGGTGTGTACACATATGTACCTTGAAAATAGATTAACACAGTACTCACTCTGAGTGACATAAAGGCCCTCTGTTGACTTATCCTCATGCCCATCGAAGTCTCTGCTGGCAAGCTGCCTGTTGGCTGTCTCCAGTCGTTCTGCACAAAACAGGAAATAATTTAAGTATAAATATATGTATATAAAATTGTAGGCCAACCAAAAAAATAAGATGTGTGCCAGCAGTACAGTATAAATAGACTCTCTAAAGGAGAGTGTTTAAACGGAGGCTGACACATACATAAAAGATGAGACCTTTGACCTCTTCCATGAAGCTGTGCTGTTCAGACTTACAGAAGCTGGGGAGGGGGGGGAACCTCCGCCATCTGCAGCTAATATGTCCAAGCAGTTCATTTCTCATGCTGTCCAAAATGTGCAATACACTTGCCATCTGACTTCGCCCAGCTCTACAGGGAGATGGGTAACTTTCTACGGTGGAATGTGGTGCTGCTAGATGTCCTGGGGGAAGGCAGACACCTTGGTGACACCAATCCTTGGGATCCTGCTCCTTTGCCATGACAGGGATTCTGCAGCCAGGGATGACTTTCTATTGGAAGGGCAGCTAGAAGAAGGACGTGACTTCCCTGAACCACTGTCAGCTGCCTTTTGGCACCCATCTCCACAAAACAGACCAGTCAGACTCCTCGCAGGAGTCTACACAAAGCATTCCATTGCATGAAGACGCATCCATGTAATCCATCAGGCACCTGGACAGGTAACAGTTACTCCATTTTCATTCCCAAAAGGATATGCTCTCAATTTCATTTGTTTTCAATACTAAAAAGAGATACCCTTTGATACTTGCTACTTCTTTGCTAAGATGCTGAACTTTGAGATATATGGGCTACGCAGTGTTGGTCTACACAGGAACTTGCTCACTAAGCTCACTAAGGCTGGATGCGACTTTGGGACTGGCAGTCAAACTGACAATTGCAAGTACTACGTGCAAAGGCATCATTCAAAGCTGCCTTTCATATTTTGCCGGAAGGTTTGTCTACAACCAGCGGAGTGACAGCAGTTCTGTCTTATGCCAATAAGCAGGGCCTGATTTCTCAAGGTTATCTAAAACATGTGAAAATACTCCTCTAAAGCCTGCTACTCTGGAGTTTGTGGAAAGTGAAGCACCACGTCAGCTGTGGAAAAAATCAAACACACAAATTTAACATACCACGGAGATCCCTGTTGAAATCATGAAGTCTCCTAATCTCTCCTTCCAGTTTGTTTCTCATCGCTTTGTCCAGAGACTCCCTCTTAGTAGTGGTCTTGACCAGGCCCTCATAAGCTTCTGAAATCCTCTGAATCTCTATTTCAAACTAGAGGAGAAAGAGGAGAGAGAGCTCCCATAAACGCCCAGCAGGAAAGCATCCCATTCTAGCATTCACAGAATCATAGAATGGCTTGGGTTGGAAAGGACCATAAATACCATCCAGGTCCAGCCATGGGCAGGGTTGCCACCCATTAGACCAGGTTGCCCAGGGCCTCATCCAACCTGGTTTTGGCACTCTCCCAGAGCATTTTGATGGGGCACAGGTGCTGGGGTGATACCTGTGCCGAATGTCACACCAACCACTGGCTCTAAAATGAGAAATTCTACACACCACCAGAAATGTTATAGGCTTGACTCTGACCTGATTTCAGCTCTGAACTACTGTAGACCAATCCTCTATTTCCTTGGCTGAAGACTGCTCCGCAAAGGAAGAAACTCTCTACAACAGACCAAAACAATTGTTTCGGATTTCCAATCTTTTAAACACAATCTCCTTGACTTCTGGAAAATTTGTATCTTAAAACCTAAACCCAAAAGACTGACAGGAGGACAACTCCAGGCAGGCTTTTGTTGTTCTGGTCAAACAGATTCAGCTCTTTTAATCAGCTAGATTAATGTAAGGTATTACAGCTCAGCTGAACTCACCGCTGAAAGAATGATTAACATCAAGGTGGGAATCTGCTCCTGCATGCCTCACTCTTGTGTTTGTGGAGAAAAGCGTGATAATGTGCATGGGCTGGAAAACCAAGAGATATATATAGCCTTCCACATACCTTTCTAAATCTGGTGCTTTTTTAGCTCCTTCAGCCATTGGTGGGATGGACTGGTGATTTGTGAAGCCAGAGTGCAGGCCCACCTCTACCTAACTCTCTCCAGGGCTCATTAAGCTTTAGCTTTAATTTGCCAGCTGCAGCATTAGCAGAATACAAGCTCCAGCATCAGGGATGCAGTCACCCCTCAGGAACCTAAAGGCAGGCTACAGCAGCCTGAACCCACACTTCCTTGATGCTAGGGCCAGACACAGTCTTAGGCACCTCTCATCCACACACAGAGCAAAGCCTGTAGAGCTTGCACCTAAGGGATGCTGGGGATGCCCAGTTCCCCAGATTTCTGCTGTCAGCTCATTTAGGCACAAAAACTAAAACAAATGAGAAGATACAAAGCCAAAGACAGCAGCACTGACACCACCCTGTGACCCCCGCACCTTTGGATCAGCAGCTGACCTTGCTCACACCACATCACCTATCTCACACAGGTGGTGATTTACCAGCTTGCAGGTATTTCACACACACAAGCTGCTTTCCTAAATGCGTGACAGTATTGGAACCACAGGCACATTAATTTCAGCCAGTAATTCCCTGTGGCTCCATGAGGAGATTGAAGTGGTTTTATCCCATACTGTGACACTTTTTCTTAAGTGAACTACAAACTATTATTCTGACTTTCCATTTTTGTTTTTCAAAGCAGGACCACCAGGAAGTCCTGCTACATTTCAGATGATCAAACCTAGAAAAGCAGGTCCCTCCTTTTTCCACTCTGCTGGGACAGACAACAAATGTGTTTCCACCATGGGGACAGCACACTCAGAGGAATGCTGCGTAAAACCTACCTGCATTGCTGTAAAGCACATGCAAAGATTCCTTTTATCCTTTCCTGGCAGTGAACTTATTTCCCATCAACAAGAAATCAGTATTAAAAATATCATGCAGTAGAAAAAATCTTCATTTGAAACTCAGCCTGAATCTGACTGTGGTTCAAAAACAGACAAGGAGTTCTCTTTTGCATGGAATCAAAAACTGATTTGGGTTGAAAGGGACCTTAAAGACCACCGAGTTCCACCCCTCCTACCATGGATAGGGACACCTTCTACTAGGCCAGGTTGCCCAAAGCCCTATGCAATCTGTCCTTTTTGAGGGATGGGGTATCCACAGCTTCTTTGGGAAACCTTTTCCAGTACCTTGCCACCCTCTAAATAAAGCAGTTCTTCCAAAAGTCTCATTGACATCTCCCTCCTTTTAGCTTAAAGCCATTAGCTCTCGCCTTATCACTACACTTCTGGATAAAGAGCCCCACTCCAGTACCTTTCTAGTGTAATTATGTGTATTTTTCCTCACACACATAACAACACAAGCTTATACAAGCATGAACCTTTATGAGAAAATCTGTTTTGTGTGAATTTTGCAGAATCAGAGCATATCAAGTAGTTACTCAAATAACAGCACCGTTGCAGCTACTTAGGGCTATGGCTTTTCCTTTGGATCAGTGTGACCTCTGCTAGCTTTACTCCTGCAAGTAGTTAGAGGCTATCTATACTCAAGCTACCCTGCATCATTCTCTGCAACCATTTACAGAAAACAAGCTTCTCTAACTCTCCCTTGGAACAAAGATTTGGCTCAGCAAAATTAATTTTCAAGGCATGCCCCTTTATTCATTACATGATCTCAGGAGGACACCGTGCTCAGTTGGGTGCCCCAAGATCTTTTGTGCTTTCCTTCTCACACTCAGCTGTTATCCAAAGCAGACGATGCCTGCCTGCTCCAGAGAGCTCCTACCACAGCAGAGCAGATTTTCCAACACAGCAGGGATTTCCCCAGCACAACAGCCCTGCCTCACACTGCTGGTTAATATGGGGGCTCTGCTCTGCTCAGTCTCTGCTGAGATACCCATCTTTCCCAAAGGACGTCACCATGCAAGCTTCCACCATCTACAGAGGCAAAGACTTCAGCAAAAACCTGCATCAGCAATGAATAAAATTACAGGACAGCAGAACAGTTTTAAGTTATGCTGACGTTTCTGAGCAGCTCTGAGACTTCCTTTCATTTCTTCTGCTGAGGCTGCATCTAGAACTGACCTACTCAAACAACCTCCAGAAACAGCATGGGAAAGCACCAGCCCAGCAATTAAAGCTCAGCAAGGTTTGTCCACCAAAAAGCAGCAGAAAAAGCAATGCTCTGCTTTACTGAAAAAGCTAAAAATAATGTGCGCCCTTCCCCTCCAGCTCTTTTTGATAAGAAAACCAGACACCACATCAAGCAGCACAGGGATTAATCGCTGCCTTGTACCTCTCTGCAGAATGTCTGTTCAGACATGACTTAGAATCTGACAGCCCTCTGGGTTGATCCGCTCATGTGAACGCTCGGGGAGCTCTGCGTCAAGCTGATTTTCTCTCTCTGATTTCTTCTCCTAATTCTGTTAAGGGAATAGAAATGCAGGGAGGGTTGCCCTACCTAGAATAACTTTGGTACACACAGACAAAAAGAAGTACTTCTCATAACTTTTCCACTTTCAGCAACAGAGAAGACCTTCCACACCTAACATACATAATTCAACTCCATTGGTTTATCAGATGTGGTGTTCAGCTGTGGGAACACAGAAGGACCTGCCCTGGCCACGTGCTCAAACACGGAAAAAAACCACAGATAGCATAATGTGTGTGAAGGTTTTGGTTCAGGAAATTTTCCTGAAGGAAGAATGCACTTGAGCATGTGTTTTGCTTTAAGAGTCTGCTTACATTCCCGCAAAGTCAATGGGATTCGAGTCCACGCTCTGTTGACTGAAGTGAGACTTCAGCCCCATGCCTGAATACCTTTCTGTTGGTGTCTGATGCAATCAGCTTGCAGGGCATCCAAAATAAAGAGCAAGCCATTTCTAGGAGTGTGAAAGGGAAGCTGAATGTTTTTAGGGCATCATACATAGCTTCTACTGAACAACGCAGCTTTTGTGAAATTAATAAATGGAATATTTACTTTTGCCCACAAAGGCCACGGGGAAGCCTTTACAGCTATACTCACAAGTAATGCTGCTGAAAAAATGTTTTGACTAACTTTAGGAAATTCTGTGAATACAGCACAGAGGAGGTTGCAAAGTTAGCAGCAGCTACAAAACAACATATCTCTTTTTAAACCTTTCTGGACTTTCTAGTCAAAGATTTCCCCAAATCTGGGTCTTGAGACATGGTCTCTCAGTGCTGGCTCTCCTGTAGAAATGTGTCTCTGATATAACACAGCACAGAAAAACAGAACTCCTAAATTCAGAGAGAGAAGACCAGAAGCCTAATGTCATTTCTGCCTATGTGGTGAGAAGTCATAAATGAAAGAGTAGCACAGGATCCTAAATTAGAATGGGAATTAAAATAGTTCAGTTGGAAGGGACCTACAAAGACCATCTAGGCCAATTGCCTGACCACTCCAGGACTAACCAAAAGTGTATTATTGAGAGCATTACCTAAATGCCTTTTGAACACTGACAGCCATGGGGCATCAACCACTTCAGTGGGAAGTCTGTCCTAGCATCTGACCTCTCTTACAAGTGACCGGACCCATTCACTCGCACCCTTTGAGCTCTGCCCTCCAGCCAGTTCCCTTCCCAGCACAGCATGAACCTCTTCATCTCACAGCTGGACAATCCATGCAGAAGGATATTCTGCTATGAGGTACTCTATCTAATGTCCAGAAAGATTACCACTGCCTTCTTTTAATTCACCAAGCTTACCTTACCATAGAAGGAGATCAAATTTAATTAAAGGAGGACTTTGCCATCATGAAGCCATGTCAACAATGTCTGACAATAGCATTATTCTGTGCCCTTCAGTAGCACCTAGCATAACTTTCTCCATGGCTTTTTAGGTACTGAGTTTACACTAACAGGTCCGTAGTTTCCAGAGTCTTCTTTCATGTCTTTCTTGTAGACAGACTGCTATCTTCCAATCAGCAGGAACCTTCCTGGACTCTCAGGACCTTCGGTAAATAGTTGAGAGGGATCCAGCTATAACATCTGCTAAATCTCTCTGTACTCTGGGATGAATGCCATCCGACTCCAAGGATTTACAAGCCATCAGCTGATACAACTGGTCCCTGACAATTTCCATGACCATACATGAAAAGTCACTGCTCCCCTCAGTCACAATCCTCCAACTCAGAGGACTGGGCAACTCAAGATCTACTAAGACAAAAAGAGGCATCCTTACTTGTTAGGTGTCCATAAAGTATCAGCTCAATGTTTCCTTTTTGCTATTGACATAATTCTGTTGTCTGACACCACACTGGCCAATATCAATCCAAACTGAATTTGTTTTTTCTTGTTTTCTCCCTGCAGATGAGAATCACAGCTCTATAGTTTTCCTGTGAAGCCAGATCTTGCTTCCAGAGATCATATTCTTTCTTTTTCTTAATAATTACCAGGAGGAGTTCCTTATTCAGCCAGACCAGTCATCTGTCCCAATTGCTTGCCTTGTAGCACAGTGGTGATTGCTGGTTCCTGGGCTTTTAGAAGGTGGTTCTCCAAAACTGATCAGCTTTCATGGACCCCTAGACTCTCCAGAGCAGATGCAAATGAGTTCCCTGAGAAGCTTAAAGTTTGCTCTCTTAAAATCCAGGATGACAATCCTGGGGACTGTTATTTCTCATTACTCCAAAGATTTTGAACTCAACTAATTAATCCATGATCACTGTCGCCAAGAGAACTTAGCTACCTCCACATCTCCCACAAGGCTTTCCCTATTCTTAAGAAACAGATCCCAGAGGGCATCTTTCCTAGCTGGCTTACTAAATACTTGTGACAGGAAGTTATCTTCAGTATGCTTTAGAAATTTCCCAGACTTGCCTGTCAAAGCAGCATGGTATTCCAGTTTATGTAAATAATTCATATGGTCCTGGGCCCCAGGGACCCAAAGCCAGCAGACTTGGGAGCACCTCTGCATCAACTTTGGTGAGACCCCACTTTTAAGCAACATCTGCTTTACCTAATTTTCAACTGTCAACCCAGGCAGTGCATGAGACATCACCTTTCTTCGCTGAAAATGCCCTCTGTGCATACAGGAAAGAGGGTACAGGAGTTCTTCACAAATGGGTTTTTGAGCAAATATTTACCAGATTCATTCAGATAAAGTGACAGTTGGTTTTGAACCAAAACATTCAAACACACCTATCTAAGATTAGCTTTTAGGAATTCAGAGCAATCACTGAAGACCTCTCTGATAATCACACTATCCAAACCATGTCTTTTGGTTGTCCAACCACACCAATCTTTAAACCACATCAACCCCATCACTGTCTGCTAAGCTTTCATAGAGTGGAGTGCCATGCTAGCTCATTGTATGAAACACTCAGGGTAGCCGTGGTCATGCTCTTCAAATGCTTCTTGTATACAGCTCTACTGCCTGTGCAACTTGGCTGCCCTAGAACACCCTGCCTGCATGAGGCACATTCCAGCAAAGCTGTCACGGAACATACGGCTTGGGTTGTAAGGACCTTAAAGATCATCCAGTTCCAATATCCCTGCTAAAGGTCAGGTTGTCACCCAGTACATCAGGGTCCCATTCAATTTGGCCTTGAAAACCTCCAGGAATGGGGCATTCACAGCTTCTCATCCAGAGGGTGGTGACACGCTGGAACAGGTTGCCCAAGGAGGCTGTGGATGCCCCATACCTGCAGGCATTCAAGACCAGCCTGAATGTGGCTCTGGGCAGCCTGGTCTGGTGGTTGGTGACCCTGCACAAAGCAGATGGGTTGAAACACAATGATCATTGTGGTCCTTTTCAACTCAGGCCATTCTATGATTGTATGATTTTCTGAGCAATCAGAGAAGGACGGAAAGTTCCCAAACGAAGGATGCTTGATGAGCTGCCTTGCTACACCCTACAGGCAGAGGAGCCTGTGGGCACCGGGGCACGGTATTACGCTTACGGGACACCACCACTGAGAGGCAGTGGTGAGAGACTGCTCACTGGTATGTTCCCATTGCAGAGACAGAGCCATGAACAATCTCTTGAGGAACCCAAATGCAGGAGCACTGAGACTGCTCCCTATCCCCACACCTTCACGTACCTTCTGCAACTTGTCTGCCTTCTCATAGTACCCCTCGAGCTCCTGCCGCAGCACGTGGTTCTCCTCGGAGAGCATCTCCACCATCTGCTGCGCCCTCTCCACGATGGCGAAGGCGTCGGGTGTCAGCTGCTGGCCAGGTGGCACAGGTGGCTGCGCAGTGGAGGGGGCTGGCAGTGGAGGCAAGGAGCCTGGAAGCAGAGGGCCGGCAGCGGAGGAGGCCTGCGAGGACATGGGGCTGTGCTGCTGGGCCGGCGGCGGCGGGAAGGGAGGCTGGCATTGTCGGCTGCAGGAAAGCACAGGCAGGGATGCGTTAGAGCTGCTCACCCTCAAGATGCACGCACGGGCTTCCATATAATTACTGCAGGGTTTATTAATAGGGTTATAACTGTACAGTCATGATTTAGTCGCTCCTAAATACCAACAATCGCAGCAGGCACTGGGTAAACTGTCTCCTCGCCTGTTGTTGACACTGATGTATGCATCTGGTGCGAAGGGATAAAGAAGGCATTGAGTCAAAAGCAGCATTTTTAACAAGGTGCACAGCTAATATTTCAGCCCTCTGCCAGCCTATCCCTGCCCCCACCTCAGCACAAGCCCCATCACAGAGCAGCTTAAGCCCACGGCTGTGACTGGAGCACAAGGGATGCATTACTCACCTTTCAAAAACTGCCCCCTGCCTGGAGCGAGCCGAGGGGCTGAGCAGCCAAATTTGGAGGTGAAAGAAAGTGATGTGAGCAAAGCAGTGTCCCTGCACGACTTTAGTGAGCATCAAAGGGAAGGGCTGCTGCAGAGCTGCTGGAAGCACAGCCTGATCAGTCATCCCGTGCAGTGAAAGCTGGGTGAGACCTCATTGTGTCACTCTACGACAAATGGCATCCATCACCCACCAGCCTTATACCAGGGAGAAGAGCTGGTCCCAGCCCTTGCAAACTGCTTGTGGGCTGTGCTTCCTGGTGATAGATTGCTCTTTAATCCTCCACAGCCAGTTGGCAGTGGCTGGAGGATAACCCAGGAGCACATTTTGGCAGGGAGGGTAATCCTGAAGCTGGTGCTCAGGTAGGACCACAGTCATGGAATGGATTGTGTTGGAAGGGACCTCAAAGATTAGCTAGTTGGGCAGGGTTGCCACCCATTAAATTAGGCATTTGACCAGACCACCCAGGGCCCATCCAACCTGACCTTGAACACCTCCAACAATATGGCAATACCTCTAGAGAGGGGGTGCAAGTCATTCCCTGACTTCCATTCTGCCTTTCACTCTTGCAAGATCAACAAGCAACACAAACCCTCTTTACAAAGGGAGAACTGAGGCAGAGAGGAGCTCAAAGCTTCTCCCATCCCTCCAGACACACCCAGCCAGGCCAGTTTTGACCTTGGGGACCTGGCCAAGGTAGGCAGCCACACACAGAGCTCCTCAGCCAAGACACCAAAGCTAAAACACGGGCTCCAAAATCAACATCATTTCTCATTAAGTGGCTCAGCCTAGGCCACATTTTCTCTGCTCTACCTCAAGACCTACAAGGCATATTTTAGCTCAACCTGAAGTCCAGCAATCAAGCACTCTTTAAGAGGTGTATTTTGGCTTCATCGCAAGCTGTCGGCCTTGCACAGCCCACACTGCCCTTATCTCCATACAGTAAGGAGATCTAGCGGATGGATGCATTTACCCTCACAGATCTATGAAGACTGTTCTGCAGGCAGACAGTTTTGTGCTATATAAATACATAATAAATATGATGACTGCTGTGTACACAGCATCTCAAACAGGGGTTTTCAAAAACTCCCAGCGTTGACCTCATTCTGCTTCCAATGATAATAACCCATCACTACCTGCAATTGCAGCAGAACAAGATGAAAAGTGAGCACACTTTTAAAATCCTGCCCTAAAAGCTAACAGACTGAAAATGAGCTCCCTCCGGCCTCAGGATGGCTTTCACCTGCCCCGAGCAGCCCTGCCCTGAGGCTGGCTGTCCCCTTCTGAGGGGCGCAGCATTCAGCCATGCCTGCAGGAAGGTCTGCTGCCTTAGCACAAAGAGGGGCACGGTGGAGGCAGGGTGCCACTCCAGCTCAGTGTGCCAGGAGGCCTCGGTCCCCTGCATTTGTCATCAGCCACAGCGCCAGAAAGGAAAGGAGTGTGTGCACCCCTCCCATGGTGACTTCCTGGCCGGTGGGCCTGCAGGCCACAGCCTTCAGACTGAGCTCAGCAAAGCCTGGGCTGCAAAAGGAGCCCCAATTTCCATTAAAATGTCCTCAGCGTGATGGGTCTGAGGCAGCTCCAGAGCTACACACCAGGTTAAGATGCTGGTCCTTGCTCACCTGTTTTTGCGGTTTGCTGCCTTTGCAGGCAGTCACAAAACCATGGAATGGTTTGGGGTTGAAAGGGACCGCTGGAAGTTTGGTGCAGCTCCCCTACAGCTTTTAGGTGTCTGCAAGAAGACCCAACAGCCTCTCTGGGCAAACTGTGTCAGTCCTCCATCTACCATACAGCATTGAAGCACATCCTGGAAATTCTGAAAGCTCCCTATTCCTGTTTGTGTTCACTGCCTCCTGTCCTGACACTGGGCACCACTAACAAGAGTCTGGTTCCATCCTTTTTACACTCTCCCCTCAGGTATTTATGGACATTGATGAGACGGGAAGCTCTTTACTATGAGAGTGGTAAGGTGCTGGAACAGCTGCCCAGAGAGGTTGTGGATGCCCCATCTCTGGAGGTGTTCAAGGCCAGATCGGATGGGGCCCAGGGCAACCTGGTCTAGTATATGGAGAGGTTGTTGGACCTGCCTGTGGTAGGCAGGTTGAAGATTCATGATCCTTGAGGTCCCTTAAACCCGGGCCATTCTGTGAGATCCCTGAGCCTCCCCTTCTTCAGACTGAACAGTCCAGATGTAATCCTTTCCTCACAGCAGAGGTACTCCACTCCCTCATCACACTGGTGACTCTCTCCAGCATGCCCATGCCTCTCCTGTTCCGGGGGGTGCAGAACTGCACACAGGACTCCAGGTGCGGCCTCACCAATGCTGAGCAGAGGAGAAGCATCACCTCCCTCACCCTGCTGGCAACGCTCTGCCTGATGCAGTGCAGGATGCTGCCAGCCTTCTTAGCATCAGGAGTTAACTCAGCATCAAGGGCACATTGCTGACTCATGTTCAGCTTGGTGTCTCCCAGGTCCTTTTCTGCCAGGCTGCTTTCAGCTGGTTGGCTCCCACCACATCCTTATGAAATAATCACAGGGGTTGCAGGGATTGGAAGGGACCTCTGGAAACAATCAGGTCCAATCCTCTGCTAAAGCAGGTTCTCTACAGCAGGTACAAAAGAATCAACCAGACAGCTCTTGAATATCTTCAGAGAAGGAGACTCCACAAGCTCTCTGGGCAGCCTGTTCCAGTGCTCTGTCACAACTGAGCCATGCTGGCATGGATTTTGCTGCTGCCATGGCCAAAGGACAAGGATACAATGCCTAGCCAAGACAGGCAGTAACTGCTCCTCTAAATCCACTGGATCTACAGAAGAATATCTGCTGCCAGCTGAAATATTTGTGCAGAAACAGACCCACAGAGGGAGAGCAGATCAGTACCTGTTGCACAGAAGGGCAATGAATCTGTGAAAAGTCTGGAGCCCAAGTCTGTGGAGCTGAGGGAACTGGGATTGTTCAGTCTGGAGGAGACTCAGGGAAGTCCTTATCACTCTACAACTTACAGGAGGTTGTGGTGAGGTGGGGGTTGGCCTCTTCTCCTAGATAACTGATGAAAGGTAATAGCCTTAAGTTGTGCTAGGGGAGGTTCAGGTTGGGTATTAGGAACAATTTATTCTCAGAAAGAGTGGTGAGGCATTGGCACAGGCTGCCCATGGAGGTGGTGCAATCACCATCCCTGGAGGTGTTCAGGACCCATGGAGATGTGGCACTGAGGAACGTGGTTAGTAAGCATGGTGGGGATGGGCTGATGGTTGGACCAGGTGATATTAAAGGTCTTTTCAACCTTAACGTTTCTATGATCTGATTCAAGTGCTAGTTGCAGAGACCATTTTAATCCAGGGAAATTTCTTACTGCTCAGAGCACAGGAGGTGGAGGCAGCACTGAGATCACCAGGAAGACTGGGTACAGCATGGAAGCTGTAAGGACTGTGTTAGCGTAGCTGCTTGGCTCTGCTCCCTCTGGATTCATGGGGAAACTTGAAGCATCCATCTCCCCTTCACAAAGGTGTCCTGCAAAAAGTCTGTGAGGCTAAAGTCCCAACAGCACTGTTTCTCAGAGTCCATAAGCACAATGAAATCAGGCATGTACACAGTGAGCAGCCTCATGCAAACATCTTCAGCAGCTGAGTCCTCTCCGTCCTCACCGCTTCTGCCTGCAGCTGGGTCTGGGCCTCACAGCAGCTGCTCCAGGGGTCACAGTGAGCTAAGGGCTTGTTTTATCTCCCTGAGACCAACCAACACCACGTGGCACAGCCCTCACAGTATCTTCACAGGGATCTTGCACTCATGCAGGACTGAAATACTGTTCGCTTGAAAAACTGCACAACAAACAATACCATAAGCAGTGGAACAAGGGATGTCACTCACAGTGCAAAAGGTGCTCCACAAACTTGTGCAAATGCAGCTGACAGCCAGTCTGCACTGTGGTGTGTTACCACAATTAGTGCAGCTAAGTGGGAGCTAGCTCTGTCAAAACAAAAGGCAGCTGGTTTAACACATGTAAAAGCCCTGCTGTCTGGGCACAGTTATATTGCTATGAAGGACACACTTGCTACAGATACAGATTTTCTCACTTCTGTATGGGAATAGCTTTGAGCAACATAACACACTTTTCAATTGATCTCTGAATCTAATCCAGGTGAGATACAGTGATTTTTCTTTTTCATGATCAAGTACTGCGATCTCCTGTTGTAGATACAACCCTCTGAACACCTGAGACTGTACTTGTGGGAAATCCAACCTCCCATCACTAACCTTTTCACACACACTTCATCTGCTTGGCTTTATTCCCAAGAGTGAGGAGAGGTGCTCAGGACCTCCATTCCCTTGAAGGGTGAATCACACACTGAGTTATTACAGGTTAGCAGCAACAGTCAGACCCCAGCATCCTTACAGCTGGGGCTGCAGGAGAGATTCTCTGAAGCATTCTCCAACTTGGGACATAGAACCAGAACACACACAGCTCCTTCTGAAGCGTGGCTGTTCAACATAATAGGCATTACCCAGTTCCAGCTTCCCTTTTACTTATTTAATCTGTCCTAGTTTAATTATGACTTAGTCAACGGTGGAGTGCCTCAATGTGTATACGA